ATAGTAAACAATAGGGACGTTTAGCCAGTAGATATTAAGGAGAAAGTGATTTTAGTCTTCCCAAAACTTTAACCACTTATTGATGAAGAAGAGACAGAGAAGTATCTACCCCATCTTACCGTTCATTACAGATTAGTCCTAATGCGACAATGGTCAGTTTCAGATTTATCTCCCATGAAAGAGTTGGTACAAACGCTAACATTGCCTACTGCATTCACCAAGCAAGGAAGTCAAACTGGCAGACATAAGCTAGAAAAGAGTATACTGAGTGTTACAGATCTGGCAGGTGAAGAGAGGCCATTCTTCTCTAATGGCACAGGTAAAAACCCAGCAGAACTTCAAAACAATGTTGGCTTTAATAACACACTGCTGGAATAGCCCAAGCCAGTTTGGCCATCAGTACTTTGTGGGGAAAAAAACCCAACAACTCTGCAATTAATTTAAAACATTATATCTGATAATAAACACACACAAGGTTATCTTCAAAAAGAAACACACGTAACACCCAACAGAATCCAAACACTGGTCAGATTAAAACCAGTGAGGAGGCTGCATAAAAGGACACACCAAACAGATAAGCCACAGATCATACTAACACAACTCAGCAGCTACTGAGAAAAAAGAACAACAACGCAGACAGAAATAATTTGAACAGTCACTGAAGCTCTCATCTTGCAAAATCCCCCCATATACAGAGAACTTCAGTCAAGTCAAGACCAAAGAGATGCACGAAGGTTCAGCAGCTGAAGTGATGTTTGTGAGGTGATGGCTGAAGTCACTTTTGTTACACAAATTAGCAGAGGTGTCTAAGAGAAAAATCAGCTTCTGGAAGTATGTCAAAGTCATAGACGTGGCCTGTTACACAAGGACCAGAAGATGCATCACTACAGCAAACTTCACAGATGGCTCCAAAAACTTTCACAGTGGTTTGCCACATTCAGGCAACCATTGATCTCAATCCTGCAGCTCTCTTAAGAATCAAAGACGACCGAATAAAGTAAGAGTGACAAGTATTACCTCCAGCTTTCAGTCACATGAAGCATCTGTGGGTGTGCATTAAAATGTATGAATCGGAGTTCAAATAAATGTTTGCTAAGTAACAGTCAATCCCTAACCTGTCAGCTCTGTGGGAACGAACCACCTGACAGGACCACAGCCATCACATGCAGGCAAAGAAATGTTCTATTTCCCTGGAAAGCCAAGGTAACCCCACACACAGTGTGCAGATGGTGCAGCATCCTGCACAGACTGCAGGCATCCAACATGTCCCTTAGGCTAGGAAATGACAGCAGGCCCTGTGTCCTGCATCATGCTTCATCGATAGAGGCAAACACTACAGCCAAGCCAGCACCACACCTCTGGGTAACTGGTAACAGAGGCCACAAACAAAGAGACAATGTCACAGAATGCACCACAAGTCTGAGTTCAGGAGGATACTCATTGTCAATGAGGACGCTGTCACACATATCGCAGCTAAAACTTCTTGTTTTGTTGTTTTGTTTTGGTCAATTTGTCCTATTCCCTAGGCAGGGTACATACTGCAGCAATAAGACAGTACATGTAACAATCACCAAAGTACCAGATTCCAGATCTACAATGACCTTAGGGGACAGTGAATGCAACCGAGAGCGTGTGATGGCACTGAGCACTCCACAGCTCAGTGAGCACTGGGGCCTTCTGACACCATCGTGAATGTAAACACGGCAACAGAGAGAAACAGCTGGTGCAGAACACACTGTGCAACTGTGGAGGAGTTACTGTCAAGAGCAGGCAATAGTTTCACACACAGAAATCAATACTGATCACTGGGTTGCTCCCATAGCTTTCACTTGACAGTTCAGTCTTACGTGAACCACACAGTTCACAAAACACACACAGAAAAATTTGACTTGATTATATTAAGGTTTTAACTTAGGCCTAGGGATTTTAGCTTTTCCAGGCTAAAGTACATGCCACAGTATTAACACCAGACTGACATGAAGTCTTACCCCCAGGCCACTTTATTTTCCCTGAATATTAAATTGGAGAATAAATCTGATTTAAAATTTATTTGAGGGGAAAAAAAGGGAGAAAGAGTTTTAAATTGAATGGGCCGACTGACCCAGTTCACCTTCCACATGTACAAACACTGCTGGGCCCAGTCTGACAGCAATGGCCCCGTGTGATGGGGAGGGTGGGAGGCACCTAGCAGCAGCACTGGTCCATGGCATTCCTCAGGCTGTGCTCAGCACACCTCAACCTCTGCAGCACAGTCTTAGAATGAACAGCCTCTGACTTACCCAGAAGTTGGTCCGTCTTCTTGCTTACCAGTGGTGTCATCTGCAAAAACGGTAACAATGAAATTATTCAAGTGAACGCACAACGGCTGGATTTAAGCACAAAACGTGCACAGCGAGAGAAAAACCCAGTTGTGACACGGCAAACGCGGCCTCAGGGCAGCCTAAATTTCAACTAGAAATGGTAGAACCAAAAAAACAACCCACAACCGACCAAAACACGCCCAGCAGCAGCAGCCTGCGGAAGGCTCCCGGCAGGCACAGAACTTCAACGCCCGCACCCACAGGGCAGAGCGGCCGCCTCGAGGCACGCGCCGTGCGGGGAGCCGCGGGGTTCTGTGCAGCAATAACACAACGCATCTGTGCAGGGGAAACGCGGAGCCGCGCGGGGATGGCGGGGGCTGAAGGAATCCCGGCACGGCCCGGGCCGACGAACACCGGAGACGCTCCCGCTCCCGCCCCATCCCCGGCACACCGCCGCACGCCGCCCCGACCCGCTCCCCCAGCCCGTCCCGCGGCCCCGCGCCGGCCCGTACCGCCGTACAGCCAGTGCTCCTCGTCCTCCTCCGCCTCCAGCGGCGCCCCGCCCGACACGGCCCCGGCCGCCGGCGGCTCCAGCTCGGTGGCCATGGCGGAGGGGAGGAGGAGGAGGAGAAGCGGCGTCCGCGGCCTCCCGGGCCCCGCTCGGCTCCCGCCGCGGCCTGAGGCGAGGCGCGCGCCCGCAGCGCTCGGCACGGGGCGGGGAGGGCCGCAGCCGCCGGGCCGGGCCGCGCCGAGGACGCCCGGCTAGCGAGCCGCCATCGCTCTTTCTCTGCCTCCCGCGGGAGGTGGGGAGGGGAGGGGAGGGGAGGGGAGGGGACGGGACGGGACGGGACGGGACGGGACCGGACCCCCGGCGGGAGCGGAGGCGGCCCCGGGCCCCAGCGCCACCCGCTCCCGCCGCCACAAAGGCGCCGCGCAGCGGATCGGACAGCGCGCATGCGCGGGGCGGGAGCGCATGCGCCGAGGGAGCCGGGGGAGCGGCCGAGCCACGGCTTCGCGCCTCGCCGGGCACAACTGAGGGCGGGGCGGCTCCCATTTCTGCTCTCGGGCGGGAAGAGCGCGAGCGGGCTGCGAGCGTCGGGGCTGGCGGCCGCCCGGGCCGCAAGCGAACGAGCGAGCCAGCGCCATGCGGCGGTCGCAGTAACGGCTCGGTCCTTCTAGCGGCACCCGCGCGGCCCGGCGCATCTCCTGTGATGATGGCAGCACCTTCTGGGCGGAGCCGCGAGCCGCTCCCGGCGGTGCGGCGCTCGGCGTCCGCCGCAGCGCTACGGAACGGCGGGCGGAACGCAGCTCGCCTCGCTGTGCGCTGAGGAACGGCAGGAAGCCGCCTGAGAAGCGTCCTTTCCCGTGGAAAGGGGGAAGCGGCTACAGAGAAAGTCCCGGATTTGTGCACGGGTTGCTATGAAGCAGAAAGACAATACGGCCATTACGGAGACAAACGGGATCCTTCAATGAGTGGCGTTATTGCAACGAAGAGGGAACCGTCTGCGTCGTTGCACCTGGTGTAACGCTGGAGACGCCACTGCCCTCCTCTGCAATCCCAGGTTGTTTCTACTTAGCCGTAGCGAGGGAAAATTAATTCAAACACAGTGCGGCGAACGTAAAGCAAGCAGGGTGATCCGAAAGATAAAAATCTGCTATTGAAAGAAAGATAATATTTGGTCTAGCAACTGAAGACTACCGTTTAAATCTATAAAAACTAAATATATATATATATCCTCAGCTGGAACACTTCAACTGCTTATGATTCAATACTTACAGCAATGCTGATACAAAAGATGTATAAAATTATGAATATGTTGGCACATCCATTTTGGCAAGCTTCATTACTGAAAAGTCCAAGAGTAGAAAAAGGGGCAAAACCCCAGATGTTCTTAAAGTGGACTTTTGCAGCAGCCTAGGCAATCACATCTCATGACCCCTCGTGGATTAATACCACGGCTCAGCCAAACGTTCCTATAGTTGGCATAACAAGAAAGGAACATTCTCTACATTTCTCAAATAATAATCAGTAGCAGTTGCATGCCTAAACAGCACATCATCCCAGGTGCACCTGGATTTGTCCAAAACAACTGAGGACATCAGTTTTCAACAAAAAACACGGCACGTGCCTACTTTGGGAATGTGATGTTTTCCCCCCAGGGATGAACCGAAGGCTTTAATTTTAAGCCTTGCTTTCACAGCAACAAAGTTAGCCCGCTAACACACACAAAAGGCTGCATTGTCCTCCGGTCACAGCTCACTACATGAGCCAACGACTTACATGTTTATCCATGCTCAGGTTAGGCTCCCTCTGCAGTGCTACTGCAATAGAATAGGAAAACCTCTGCTCTTCTCTGCTCTCTGAACTCTGCATCACTGCACTCCAGTAGGGATAGAGCATCTGTGATGAAAAGTAAGGCTGCAGCAAAATTCCACAAAAATTCCTGGTTACAGAGGGTGAGCACCAGCTGAGATAGGTTACATGGAAGACTAAATGTGATGTTCATTCTAGAATTTTGTTTTTGCTAAGTTTTCCAAGTGTTGTCCTTTCAACCAGCCAAACCATGCTGGGAATCCCACTGTTCTGTGTTAGAAATGTGTCTCACATAAAGGAAACCACTGACTGCCACTGCGTTCACACAGTGCTGCAGGGAGACACAAACCACTTTGTTTCCAGAAACACACGGCACTGTTCAGAGGTTTTCATCTTTAAATTTAATTAAAGAAAAAATGTCTCATAGTGATTAAGCATGTCTGACTTCCAACTTCTTTAAACAGCACAAGCCTATGCAGTAAAATGTAGAAATAGAGCTCAGAATTTTATTTTAAAAAGAAAGAAAAAGAACTTTCAAAGTGTGAGGTCCTATTAAAAAAGTGGCTGTTCACTTGTAAACGGAATAAAAATGTTAAGAAGACAATTTAAAAAGTTTCATACACCTTAAACAAAACCACTTTCCGTAAGCCATACAAGTAACATTACAGCATCATAAGAACAGCAAGAGCAGAAGAAAATGGCAGAGGCATCACACAACATTACTTACTGAAGTAACAACTTATTTACAGTGAATTTTAATAGCTCGACATTTTTATTGCTCTGATGGTAGTGTGTTGACAAGTAAACATAGTAAATTGTCATAGTGGGACACTAATGTGTGTATATTTACAGTTTTGCATACAGTGGTTTTTTGTACCTATCAGGAAAAGTATAGGGACTTTTTTTCCCCAGTCAATACCACTCTAGATTTTAGCAAAAATGTTCTTTTTTTCAAGTTATTCATCTACAACTGTCCACACTTCCTAGACTTGCCTGTGCACGTTCTAAAACACATCTTTCCTCCTCTGATGGTAAAAGAACTTCACAAGAAGCAGGTGGGGAACTGTAGGTAAGAGCTCATCAGTATCCTTTAATGCTCCTCACATACAAAAACTTTCTAATTAGAAAAACAAACAGGCATTTCATACATACAAGTTAAAAAGGAAAGTGTCAACATGTTTATTTGAAAAACCGAACACTGATTAGACAGATGATATTCCTGTAAGAGCTTTATAAAAATTGCTGCAAACTCACACTACATACTTCTACTAGTTCCCTTTTCTCCTTTCTTGCTACACGTTTTCATTTTGTTGAAACCAGTCAAGGCACTGTCTTCACCATTTCTATTACACTTTGCTCACATCAGTCTGTTACATTACTATGCGTGCTTCCTCCAGTTAACAAGTATCCTCTATAAACAGGCTTACCATTTCATGCTCATTTTTTACTGTCGAAAATGAGTTCTCCAGTCTTATGAGATACAAACTACCTGTCGGATGTCTTTATATTAAAGCAAAAGATAGCCTAGGCAAAAGAGAACCTGTAGGTAGACAAGTTCACAGCAGCATTTACAGTTGCTTTCATGTTTAAATGAGCTATTAAACCTGTCTTTCAGATGCAAATGTAATACTGCATGCTGTTTTTGTATTTTAATGCAAATTTATTTTCCTATTAAAACATGGAGCTTGCTGTAAACTTCTGTTTCAGCTCTAATACTCTACTAGTTGCTTTATGGCCACATTTTTAAGTGCCTATTAAAACATAAGAGGAAAAGACCCTTTCACGGTTTGAATATAATTAATAATTTAGGACAAAGTAAAAGCGTATAGAATTTATGTACTTGAAATGTAAACTTTTAAAATAAATACTCTGTGCTGAAGTGGGAAACTCAGGGTATTCTCTCTGCTTGGCACAGCATTTCACTGAAACAAGACAGATCAGTCGAAAAACTCTCAACTCCACCCAAGGAAATCAGCACAGACTCAGCAGAAGACTTCTGCTCACAGTGAGACGGAGGGCTGCTCAGCACTCAGCACTGGCAGTTACTGAAACTCTCGCTTGCCTCTTTTAGTTGGAAAAAAAACCACTTTGAAAATATAGTCACATAAAAGCAAAAATTAAGAATCTGCTGAGATTTCTTGAGTTTTTCTTACACAGCAAGAGAATACCTAACAAAGTTCTGGCATAACTGTAAGAAACTTCTATTGTTCTGTCCAGCTAAGCTCCCTTCACTTATACCACATGCACTTATTTCTAAGGGAAATTGTCTGTGCTATGTCAATTTTGCTTTTCACTGTTTCTTTCTGCCATTAAGTGTTTTCTCTGCTTCCAGTTAACACTCATCCTAAAAATAAAATAAAATGGAGAGAATACTTTGCATGGTTCTCTCACAGAAATCTGAATTGCAAGGTATAGCTCAAGTTAAATTCACACAACACTGCAGTCCATTCATTAAATTAAATTACAAATTCAATTGATCAGTTATTCATTACCAATCTACTGGTCCAACAAAACCTCTGCACTAACTATACAGATTTCAGAGCCTGAATCATCAGTCTGAGATCAGGAAGCACTGGAATCGGACACTCAGCTGTACAGTTAGAAGAACAAGATATTTGATTCCAAGTAACAACTTACATAAAACTGGCCTTCTGTAAACAGTGGGTACTGGGTATCTGGCCTGTTACAGCTATTAGAATGTAATGACTTTACTAATACTGTATTTTAATACAATATTGCACACTGAGGAGATGCAAATACATTCAGAGGAAGTTCTAAGTCAGTCTGAAACTAGAAAGCAACCTGTGATGCTGCAAGGAGTTAAGTTGCTGCAAAGAAATGCCTGTAGACATTTATGATTATATTCATCACAACTTACAGATAATCAGTTATCTGATTATTTTTTCTCTTATTTCTAGTTAGTAAGGTGGGGGGGAGGGAACAACGCATTGTCATTTGCTTCTTTCTTTCATTTGCTATGAACAAATGGTCTTGCTTAGGCTAGCTATTACAGTAAGTTTTTCTATAGTCACTTCCCTTCCTGACATCAGGCAAACAGGAAGGAATCCAAAAATGCTTCTGAATTCCACAAGGCATTTGTGGATCTTCAAACTGTTCCTGAATGCCAAAATATACACGTGAGCCCATTCAACTGATCTACTTCCTCCCATCAGCACATTCCGAAATACTGCTCTGATTTAGGCAAAATTTATTTCTGCTAGAAAGGGATGCCATATCATGTAACTGTTAAAACGCCTAAGTACTGTTGTGCTATAAAAATACTCAGCTACTTCAACTTTCATTTGGCTGTTGCAAATTCTTCTCCTTAGTAACGACTCTCTCCAATTACAATATACACTTTTTCCTACTCAGAAAACAAAACAGAACAACCCACAGAAAGTGACTTTCGATATTCTAAATGTAAAAAGTGGGCTTTGGGATATTTTGCTAATAGCAGCTGCCATTTCCCCATAAATGTGATTTTTTCAAAAGATAAACAGTATATAAGGTTCCCATTTCAGGTGCCACAAACAACACCTGAAATAGTTAAAAGACAAACAAAATGCTACACATTTTTTATCCATTTACTAAACAAAAGTGCAACTGAGCCCTACACATCTGACAATATGTACAAACTCATTATGGCTTTACCATAAAAACAGTACGTGAATGGGTCCATACAATCAGAGGGATGATAACAAATGTAATGAATAAAACTATGCCAAACTGTTGGTAATAGAACAAGAGCTATCTTACATTCTGTAAACCTTGGCATACCACGCTTTACATTATGCAAAGAGTCAATATTTACAAATCTATAGTGGGTAAAATAATTAACCCCCGAATGTAAATGATGATTTTGCAAAGTGCAGGACAAAACCAGTGCTGTTAATTGCAAGTCCTATGCAAGCAAGTGACATTAGAATCTTTACTACTAGACGCTTACCTGGACATTTCTACTGAGAATTTATAGGAATGAAATACAGTATGACACAGCATCAGGGTGCATGTTTGAGGATATACGCTAAATGTAGAAATTAATAAGGCAGCATGCTCAGAACGAGTTTAAGCAGCACTGATGTTAGATCCCTAGTGGCAACTATATCAGTTTTTGTTAATGTTAAAAATTCAGAGTGCAACACAGAAGCCTCATTTAACATTTAAAAAAATGTGCAAATTGTTGTCAAACAAAAAATAACATCGCAAGGAAGATACTCTACCAAAGAACATTTTTTAAATCTCAGCAAAGTAGACCATCTTCTTTCCAAAATCATCTACAAGGCACTAAGGGTAGAAAATGACAGGTAACATGAAAGACCAAATGCAGTTCCTCAGTCAGGTCGAAATATGGGATATTTTGGTAAGAACTCTATTAATATTACCTGTTGAAGAAGGGAAAAGACAAGAACAGAACACAGAAATCAACAACTTCAAATCTTCAGCATAGCATTCCATGCAACACTAGCTGTTTGTAGGATTATACTTGCCCAAGATTATTTTATAGGGAAACTTTATCCAAAGTAACAAAGAAGATTCAGGTTATTTTGAAATACACAACTTATCAACACTTGACTTTTTGGGGGTGATTCTCTCTTTTCTTTAAGCCTAGGCAGTCTTCATTGTTATGCATGAAAGTGGATGAGAGAATAGTAGGATAACAGGAATAACTGAAATTCCACTTTCCTAAATGGACTATCTTGGTTAAATCTTTATGAGATCAGGAGCCAGGACTAAAATAAATAAATAAAAATTCGTGGTCTGATTAAAAAAAAATCAACGCACTACTATAAAAAAAATGCAGTAATTCTGTACCAAAATGCTTAATCAAAGTAACTATAAATAGCAGTAGGAAAGGTGGATAAGTGCTAAAGAACTATGGACTGCTGTGAGAATCACACTAGGGCATAAAAACCCTGTGGGCCTTCCTTGTTATCAATTACTGATCGAAGTGCACCCTGTAGTGCAAACACAGAATTGTTATGAATAGAAAAGAAGTTCAGCAGTGACAACTTCTCAGTTTTAATATATGACATAGCCACTCTTTAAAACTGGCCTTCACAGGTGTATATCAAACAACTGCTGCTTTTTATGAGAGCTTATTCGGATTGGTTAAAGTCTGGTAAGGTAACAGATTTCACTATAAAATAAAGGGTGTTGAATACACAATAAATAACAGAAATAATACTTACATATTCCATCATATTGCTAGTTTCGCATTTCCTTTTACTCAGCTTCCAGTGCAAACCAAGCTAAGAAAGTAATTATCAGAAATTAACACATATTACAACATTATTTTGATAACTAATGTAACAAACATAAGCAGTCAAACCTTTTGGATCTGCAATACTTCAGACAGTGAGATTTAACTTCTAGAAAGTATAGAATTATAATGAGACAGTAAAATTCCTAACATGTCAATTATGCAAAAAAACCATAAAATCGAAGAAAACAAGCATTCTAACTTTTCTTACCTTATGATATAGTCTGTTATTTTCCCATTCTAATAACTTCTGAATTGATCTTCTAGTCTGAAAAATTAAATCAAAACTGTATTATGAATGGTTCAGTAGCCAGCCTCATCCAGAAGAACCTCATTATTGCATTTCTGGACTAAGAATCACTTAAAATAAATTAGTTTTATAGAAGTAGAACCAAGCAATTGAAAATTGTAAATGGGAAGTTGAAGTGATAGGACTTCTGTTCCTCAGCATCAGAAGGCAAACAAACAAACAAGAAACCACAAAGCTGAGAACTGGACACATTCTGCTCTTTTTACAAGCGCCCTTAAAATATGGTCCAATTACAGTCTTCATTCTGATATAATAAATGGTTTACAGCGAGGCTTACAGCTACAAAGAGCTCCCACAATACTTAGAATACTCCGTAAGATCACGGCAACTACTAAAAAACAAAGGTGAAACCCTGGATAGGAGATACATCTGCTTCCTTACCTTATACCTATAAAGGGGATTCTATTTTGAAGAAAGCAACCTACTTCAGGAAGTAAGAAGCCATTTTACTGATTGTGGGAGAAGGAACTATTTTTGAAGTTTCAACTGTTTTTTTTTCCTCTATTGTCACAGAAGGACCACTGTGATAACCTACTCTATTTCCTACACAATGTTCCATGCAGGTATTTTGTTCACAAATTTAATAATGGTTAATGAACTACACTACCTCATTAAAAAAAGATGCAAAGATATCAAATTCTGAGTCAAATACTTAATGATGGAGAATCCACCATCTCTTTGCTAATTATTCCAGTGATGAAGTTATCCTCGGAATCAAAAAGTCCATGTTATTTCTTGCACCGTTTAAATTTCAAAGTCCAGCCTCTGGATCTTGCCTTTTTTCTTTTTTTCTCCCCTAAATGAACATACATGGACTGGCTAGGACAGAGTTAAATTCATCACTGCAGCCTGCATAGTGCTGCACTCTAGATCTAATGACTCAGTGTTGGTAGCCCACCAGTGCTGCAGCTCTGGCTGAACAGTGCTTGTACAGCATCATGGACCTCTGTTTCTAACTCTACCCCCTCAGGTATAGGCAATAGATTGGGACAGCTGCCCCAGTTTGACCAAAGGGCTACATGACACCATGCTCACAACAAAACTGGGGCTGTCATGGCCCAGTTGGTGGGAGGTAGGGAGTGATTTGTCTTTGCATCTCTTAGGTTTTTCTCCTCTTTTTTTCATTCACTTATTAAACTGTTTTTTTATCTTGACCTGAGATTTTTCTTGCTTTTGCTCTTGGAATTCTGTCCAGTCCTGTCAGAGACTAAGCAAGCAAAGGGCTGCTGTGTGCTCAGGTACTGGCTGGCTCAAACTTTCACAAGAGACCAAGAACAACCACATACTTTTGGTTCTTAGAGCGACCAAATCACATGAACATTCACGTACACACATGTATACACTTTATACATTTGAGAATAACATCAACACTACAACTTCACACGGGCATTTATTTCTTCAGTAGTGCAGGGATATTAAATATGTTTTTAAAACTGCAAATATTCCATCTCTACATATCAAGTGTATTCCTCTGCTTGTTCTAATAGAAGTAACACAGTAAAGTATGCCAAATAAATAACAGTTCAGAAACATTATGGTATCTATTAGAGATAATAATAATAAAAATTGTCTGCTTGCAAAAAATTGTGTGAGAGGAGGGAAGAGAAATACTCACTCTAGTTCAGGCAACTTTTGAGGGTCAACATCTCACTCTGCTCACTGATTCAGTTTTTAGAGCTTTAAATATCCTGGAAATGTAGGTACTCCTACATAACACCTTCTTTGAACTGAGATAAGATTAGCTATACCCTTGACTATCAATTCAATAGGCAATTTGGCATCATTTGCTTCATTAAGAAATGTTTTTTTCTATTCTCTAAGGAGTGGAAAATTGAATTAGCCTTTGAATGTGAGATTTAAAAAAAAAAGGGGCTTTGGAACGTAGATGATGCTTTTCAACATTATTTAATGCTACCAGAAATTGCAAAATCAAGAAAATAAGACAAACGAAAAATGTACTCACTCTTTTGTTAAGACAGACTACAGGCCACAGGCTACAGCCCAGTGTGCAGCAGCAGCACAGACAGCCACAAATCAGCCATTTTACATTGACAGGAAGATTCTTTCTTAAGCAGGTATTCACATGACTGATGCTGGTCTTGAATTCTTCTGGGGCAACCTGTAACAGAAGTGCTGAACTTCAGTGGAATGCCATTACAGATGTATTTCCTCAAGAATTGCCTTTATAGATTAAAATGTAAATGCAACATACTTCCATTATGCAACATGACCCCATCTTCCAAAACGCCGGTCACACAGAGAGCATGAAAAGTCATTTTCCTGTAACAAATTCATTTATGGTGTGAGCTTTGAAAAATTTGCGTTAAAAAGCCCAATGCAGCTTAGATGAACAGCCTCATCCATATTTATTATACCAGATAGATCAATGGGTTTGATAACATGGTCCCTAACAAGGCTAAGAAGGGGAACGCAGCAGTGCAACATCCTGGCTACACTGACCACAAAAAAAGGAATAAAAGAAAAACAAAAACAGAAGGAATAAAATGAAATTAAAAAAAGAAGAATGATGGCTATCTTGTTTCCAAGGGAATAAGGAGTAATAGGTTGTTACTTCACAGTAAAAACACTGTTGTGTGTCACATTAAAGAAGGATGATATGTCCAATTTACAGATTCCAGCCTCTGGATCTTGCCTTTTTTATTTCCTAAAGGAACATATACCAATTACAGTCTACACTGTGCCTGGGTGAGGGTGGGCTGCTATCAATAAACCAATTCCTGACACAGCCCACACAGTTGTGGGGCTGCAACTTTACCTGGGGCTTCTTTCTAAGCCAGGAAGCCCAGAAAGACAGGGACTGGGTTACATCCAAGGCTAAGAATGCACCCTGTACATGATTTTTAGTAAAGCCTAGCTGCTGAAACACAGTTGCTTTAAGTACACTCAGCCCACTATTTCTCAATGTATTATTTTATACATGTGAGCATTTGCCTACTCCAAACTCCAAACCCACCATCTCCCTACAGTACCTAAATAACAAGTAGGGATCCATTCACTGTCTTACAGCTACCTTGACTCCAGGATGGCACTCCTAACAATAACAAAGCCCAGGGTTGGACACACAAAGCAGAACAGTGAGATCCAACTTCAACAGATTTGAACAGCCAGGCATAACAACTCCAAAATAATAATAAAAAATTTTTTCCTTCCTACTTGCTATGCTGAAGAAGCCCCTGCCTAGAACTGGTCTGCGTACCAAGTTATTAAACTCCTACATAAGCCTTCCAACCATCAAGCCTGAGTCTTGATGGTTGGTTCATTTGATTCCACAAACAAGGCATTAATTGGCAGCGCCTCCTTGCTCTGAAGAGGTGAACCCAGCAGCCAGGAAGCAGCAACAACCCGGTTCTGCCACCTCCACCTATCACAAGAGCTAACTTGATTAAAGCACTGCAGGAAAGGGAGTAAATACACAGAGCATCTGTTTCCTGGCCATTCAGATCAGCAGGCAGTACAGAGTCAGAGGTCATCTGGGTCTGTATACTAGCCAGACCTACAGTGAACATCAGTTAACATTGTGAGCATTTTATAGCAGGAATGAATAACTACACAGCAACCACTTATTCTGCAATTATACAGACTACCTTTGTTTCCTCAGTATAGAAAAGTCAATCTTGTACTTCTTTCTGCACGTACAAATGAAGCAAGTCCAAAAATTTTCTTTCGACTAAATTGCACATCAACATTCAAATATATTTTACAACAAATATCCCAGTTAAAAAAGAATAAAAAAAATAAAAAAGAAACAGCATTGGGATGTTTTTAATGAAAAAGAGAAAAAAATTACATTGTGATGTGGAAAATTAGCCTGTGCTTTCAAGCATTCAAAACAGAAGGCTCTGCAGATCTCTGCCAGTGGCAGCTCTTATATTTAGGAAACCCCAAGTATTTGATGCATGTGAGTAAGACCACTTCATATTCACTATGGGAGCAAGATTGGTAGTGAAGTACGACAGGACTGGTTGTGTAACAGCAGTACAGGAGTTCAGCTTCTGCAGTCAGACGTGATTCAGAGTGAATCAAACTCACATGCACGAACAAACCACAGTTCACAATGCTCAAGGAAGTTCACATGCAAATGTGTTCTTAGCATTCATATATACAAAAAGGGGACCATCTTCAATAAGCCTTCTGAAATTTGTACATGTATCATCCTATCTATTTATTTGAAAGGTAGTAACTTTTTTTTCTTGACTCCATTAGTACTTGTGATATGAAGTCCACTAAGGAAAGAGAATGGTTCCTTTTGCATCACTCACAAAGTTCACTAGACCTCGACAACAGCACAGCTCACAGACCTCACCCCAGACACAGCTGTACCCTACTGTAGACACTGGATCTGCAGTCTAGAGCTCTCTGTATATCATGAACAAACTTTATAACCATAATTGATATCTTCCAACACAAAAGAAGTCAAGTAGATTCTTCGACCACTGGTCCCGTCGTCAAACAGCACGATGCTGCATTAGAGGAACAACAGATGCTGTCATGAGCACAGCACTGCACATGGCCAAGAAACACAAATTTCTACTTGGGCTATTTTCATATTAGCACAGCACAGCTACCACCTGCTAATGCACCTACTGCTTCTACAAAGGTGTATCTCTTAACTGCAGCACAAGATGAAATTACTGAAGGCTTCCTCAGCTAACCCAAACTGCTGGATGTATTTCTCCATTGCAGACACAAGTACTTCTGCCAGTCATTGACATCTTCATTTGAAGCTAAACTAATCGGGGACCAGGATAAGCCTCATTCTATGATAAAGAGAAGCAAAACCAGTTTGTTCCTTTTGGTTTACAGCTCAGTCTTGTTACAGTGACAAAGAATGAAATATCTGTAAATAAAATGACGGTGTTCTTATTTAGTAAGAAAATGATTTTAGAATAAAACAGTTACAAAAGAATGTTGCTGATTTTTGGACATAATTTTAAATCCTGCCTTTTTTGCAGATAAAGATACTGAAAAGTTAATAGAAAATGCCTAGGTATTTAAAACAATTCAGAGCACCTCCTGAGCAAAGAAAGCTCACTAACAGCCTAGTTTTGAGCAGTTTTGGAATGTCTTTTGTAGAATTTCTGAGTCGCAAAAAGAATGAGATAAACACATAGCTCCTGGCTGTGCAGTACACCTTGTAAAGAGACACTGGTTCCTTTTAGGTCTCCAAGGGGGAAAAAAAAGACATAAAAGGGAAGGAGGGAGTGTTATAATATTTTACAACAGGATGTAAGGGAATCTGCAAACACAGGAAGAGAGCAAGTACAGCCCAGCAGGCCTGATCTTTCTCTTTCAATCATGATCACAAACCCTATCAATCACACACTGCAATGGGATCACAATAGCAAGAGCCCATTTTATGGCTTACATTTCCCTGCGCTGCACAGTAATCGCTGTATGAGGCCCTGATTGTTTTAGGCTCAGGGCAGGAAACGCCGCTTTTTTTTCTTAAGGCTCACTGGCTCCATCACTTTCTTGTCACCTGGAGCACTGCTCAGTACTGAACAATTCCTCATGGGAAGTACTGTTTTTATAAGCCAGGTTTAAAATTCTTTGCAGCAAAGGAATCACTTAAACTTTTAGCACTAGAAGTTCTACTTCATTTCAGAATAGCTACCAACAGAGCTGCTTTAAAACCCATTTTAAATGTCTGTTTTAAAAGAACAACCCTATAAAGCCATAGCACGCAGAATTTGAATTTAGCCAGAATTTAAATTTAAGCCAATTACTACAAGGTAATTACTGCCCCTTTATTTTGTAAATCAAATCTTTTCTTACAAAATCTTGTTGAAAACACTCCTGAAAGCTAAGCTCTGTATTTATACACCAGCTGATATTTGCTTCTTATCCTGCAAGATAAACATTAAGTCAATCGAGTGGAATTACCCAGAGCCAATATCTGACCTAACTGCTATTTTCTGTATTGTTTTATTGTCTGTGTTGTTTCCTCAAACATTCGCAACCAGTTCAATATTGAAGACGTACTCACATGCATCTTAGCTCTAAGCTAATTTACAACTGTTTGAGAATCTGCAGAAATGAGGAGGAAGAAGGAGAGAAGATGGGTAAAGAAGGGTATTTCATATTAAAAAGATAATAAAGAATAAAATTAGTGCAAGGTTTACTACAGTCATTATGTAGATGGAAACCAAACTGAGCATCAGGAAACTTTATAAATTCCCAAAGACTACACAGAGCATAGATCTAAAAAGTTAGTGATTTCATCCTTTGTTTAAAAGCCTAAACCCTCATCCTGAATTTCTTAGAAGAAAAACAGCATAATGGAGAAGTCTATCAACTCCGTGTAACGGCTTCATCGTTTACACCGCATTAGCAGAGGAATTATATTATTTGTGGTCAACAAAGCCATTAAACTTAATATTACATGGACATTCTCCAAGTATGACAACCATCCAGTGGTGGTTTTAATGCAGTCTTACAGTAAACATTTTTATAGAAAACTGTTAATAAAAACAGCCACCACACTTTTCATAAACGGATTTCATAAAAAGGAAAGAAGAAAAAGAAAGATCTTCAAGTGGTACATCAGTAGACCACAATGCCTGATGTGAATTATTGATCAGGGTATTTGAAGAACACTTACTGGAAAAATCTGAGTTTTCATTTTCAGCAGCGGTAAAGGTGATGGACTGCCATAACCAGAGGAAGAAGCAGATTATTCATTTCTGGCACTTCATGAAAGTATTAAAAACCCAACAAGCCACAGCTGTGGCTTTTACCACCTTTCACAGCCATGTGTGGCAAGCATTAAGAAGGATTTGTTTACTACCTCATCTGATTGGTCAAAGTTGGATTTATTTTTAGAGTCATTTTCCTCAAAACCCATCAATCCACACATGGAAAAAAAAATAACTGGATTATCAAAATTCTCAACATAAGCAGTGCTCCTACAGGCACTAAGTGGACACTCACGTGTCAGCTAAAAGAACATCCTCTTTTCATTCTGTTAAATTAAATCCAAGCAGCGAACTGAAGTTTAAACTGAAATTTAAATTAAGCTTTTGCTCCTATAAACTCAGATCCTGTAATAACATCAATTTCTCACTCTTTATTTAACAGGAAGTCAATCAAGTGGGAAATGTGACAGGCATTAAGACTTGTATTAAAATGAATATGTTTTGGGGTGGGGTAGTGTTTTTTTTTTTTTTTTAATATAAATATTTTCTTACAGAAAACTACCACTTAATTAAAAGAACAGAACTCTTTCCAAAAAGCATTGCATGGCTTTTTGGTGATCTGAAAGAGCTTTACAGAAAATAAACTTCAGGCATGCAAAGCAGTGAGATGCAAGTTGTGTTACTGCCAGCCTGTGCATCAGGCACTGTTAAGTCAATGAGCCTTCCCTTTTTGCTCAGTGAGATCCTGAAACAAGGCCAGACATTACAGGTTGTCTTTTAACAATCATATTAGCAGCTTGTCCAGCCAACAACTGGACTGCTGTCAAAAATGCTGGACAAATTCACCACAAGTGCTTTATTCGTTACGCTCGGAGGTGAAAAGGCAGAACCAGGATGCCCCCAGAGGGGGGAACCTCCACAGGCTTCAGCTGCATTCGGCACATTGCAAAAACAGTGACTGCAAGAGGCTGGGGAGACTGGGAGGCTGCAGCCGTGTGGGATGTCCTTAGAGAAAGCAGCAAGAGCCAAGTACCTTTTTCTCACAAGTTCTGGAAGAGATACGCAAGGGGATGACAAAATGAAGGAGAAGAAAAGCACTGTGTACTAAAACAGCTGAATGAAAAAAAATTGGGGAAAGAAGTCTAAAACACAACAAAACAAACAAAACAAAACCAGAATTATGAAAAGAATTTAAAAGTCAAGAACTTTGCTACAAGTTTTCATTAAGAAATAGCTACAAATGAATACTTATTAAATTGCTTTTAGCAACACAACAAGACTCCAGAGAAATGATGAGACTTTCACAACAAATTTTCAGAATGACACAATTACTGTATTTCAGAAAAAGTTCTAAAAAAAACCTACTTCACTCACAGACTTGAAACCATGTTTAATTCCTTTAAGCTTCGGATAAATAAATGCTCTTCTAGACATCTGTCTAAAAATGAACTCAAGACTTGACAGACATATTGAAAAATGAGGTCTAGTACCCAAAATAGTTTAGTTTGCACAGGATGTAGCACAAACTGCAGGCACCTATGAAGCAAGGGAGTGCAAGTCTTGCTTTTACACAGATTGCCTACATGAGAACAGTACCATGGTGTGCTCAGAATGTCAGTAAAGACTACAGTCATTGCAAACTATCTTTGCTGTAGGGACTGGTCTTCAACCAGCTATTTCATACAGGACACAGTTAATTTAGCAGCCTTCAGTGCAGTGCTGGCCTGCAACCAGTTGTGTTGGATTCATAGGCATATATTTGTAACACAAAAACCACTGGAGGCACTGGAGCTTTCCATTTAAAAGAACAGTTTAATCTCACACTTACCTTCCCTGTCAGAACAGAGGGAAATTCTGTATCAAACTTGTTGCTCAAGCCAAACCTTGAAAACAAAAGAGACAAACAAAATATATTCCACCTAACTTATTTTGTTTCCCTTAATAAAAAAAATGCAATAGATGCTTTTTTTTTTTTTTAAAAAAGGAAAACTATTTCTTCTGCCTTTACATGTACATTATTTTATAAGCTTTCAATCCATTTTTATATAAGCTCTTCTTATTATTCATAAGACAAAAAGAGAAATATAGCTTGTTGCTTTACTTCAATACCTTCAAGCCACTAAAAGCAGAAAAAATATTTTACAATTGGATAGCAGTAAGTTTCAATTTTTTCTTTCTTAAAGAAAAAAACAAGAGCCTCCAAGTAGTAGCTAATCTTTTCATTGCTGTTTTTCTTACTCATGCAACTTATTCACATGCAACAAATAAAGCTACTTATAAGGAAACCATTCATCACTTTGGAAACTTTATAACCATACAATTCTTAAAAACTGCTTTGATCTGAGTTAAACTATCTCATGCAAACATGTAAGGGCCCACACATCGAGCGGTTTCAAGCAACTACGAACTTTAGAAAACTGTCTTAGCTAACACAGGGCCTGGTGGCTCCTGTCAGTGAAGCCTTTTTACTTTGCAAGCAGCAAGTCTTCATTACAAGCAGCAGAGCCTACAGGCAGCGAGGTGTTTTCCGGAATTTAGATGCTCTGCTTGAAAACCCACGTTGCTCCAAGCTCCAAATCTACTGAACCAACTGCCCGTGTCAAGGAGCTGCTTGTGTAGGTCAGTAGGACGCTGAAAGCACAGCTGACTTTGTTGTATTTAAGGCATACACGTAGGCATGAAATTAACAAAACCCTGACGTTAAGCCCACGAGTTTCCGTGAAATAAAACGTTATGATCTTCTGTCCTCTCCATCTCATCTGAATTCTAACCTTTGCAATTCAGTAATGAAACAATAGCAACTGGTCTCTCAGCTCCAGTGTCTCTATTCAAAGAAGGTTACCTGCAAAGCTTGTAAAGTTAAATACACTGCACACCAAGTTCTGCCAGCCCTGATAAACCATTTCCTGAATATTTTTGTTGAAACAAACAGAAAACAAAGGAATCACAGCCAAAAGGATGAGCACGTATATTTGGTATTGTAATATTTACCCTAGAAACAAACCCTTCTGGGCAGAGAGCATTCCTCTGAACCAACACCGAAGCGTTCCTCATTGGCCACCCAGACGAACACTGACTGCCCAAGTGTAAGTGCCCTACTGCTGCACAGCACGCAGCCCACGTCACCCACTAATAACTCAGTGACCCAAACCCAGCAATGGCACTTGCTTAGCAGTACAGACAGGTGAAAAATAAACTTGAAGGGTGAGACGAGTATTAAAATCTCTGCTGTCCTCAGAAATCCAGCCAGCTAATCAAGATGTCTGTCAACAATACTGGCGACATCAAGTTCTTCAGTTGCTAACTTAAGTCAGAGCCTTGGCACCTGTAAAAACCAGCATGTTAGCACACTATTTGTGTAAATATTACAAAACCAAAGATTAGACCTTCACCGAGGTGTCTGTCAACCTTTGTCTCTTCAGCTATCCTAAGCACTATGACCAATTGCCACTTGTTTGTGTTTCCTTCAACATATTTTCATTGGAAGTCCTCTACAGGTGAATGTGAGTGAACTGAACAGCAGCACAGCGTTGGCTACAGCATATCTGAGTCAATTGGAAAGCCATGATGATAAATTACTGCTATATATGCAAAAAGTAAACACAGTATGATTTGAAGCAAACAAAGAGGTAACTGATATAAACACATTTTCATTTTCTGACAATGCAACCTGCAGGCCAGTCTCCACATTCTGTAGCTTCTCTTTTTTATGATGAAATTTTCCAAGTAAGTTGGTCTTTTCAGTCTTAAAAACTAACAAACAAAAAACCAGAAAAGACTAACAGCCCTACAAAACACACACGTGACCCTGTTTTGAGTAACACTGACTCTTTTATTGAGAAACTACATGAAACAATCACAAAGCTTTAGCAACCAAGCAATGTAATTAACTTATCATAAATGAGCTACTGGAAAGCGGGGCTGTAGAGATGGGGAAGGGCCTGGAGGGGACAGTGTGTGAGGAGCAGCTGAGGTCCCTGCGTCTGCTGGGCCCAGAGCAGAGCCCTCATGGCAGCTGCAGCTCTCACAGGGAGCGGAGGGCAGTGCTGAGCTCTGCTCTCTGTGGCTTCAATGGGGCCCGAGGGAACGGCATGGAGCTGTGTCAGGGAAGGGGCAGGGGGTCAGGGAACGGATCTGCAGCAGGGTGGTGGGCACGGAACATCCCCAGGGTGGTGAGCACGGCCCTGAGCTGCTGGAGTTCAAGAAGCACCTGGATAATGCTCTCAGGCTGGGTGGTCCTGTGTGGAGCCACAGGTTGGACTCCGTGATCCTTATGGATCCCTTCCAACTTGAGATATTCTGTGATGCTATGGAAGTTCCGCAGAATTATTTATCCACATCACAGACTAGAACTGCTCTAATGGTGCCAAAGACCCACCTCGATCACAGCACTGATTCTCACAGCACCAGCAGCAGATGCCCAGAGAACGGCAGAAGGAAAAAGCCTGCGAACTTTACATACTATTACCCCACAATTCTCTTGGAACCTTCAACAGTTTGTAGTTCAAAAACTTCCTGAGCCACAGGCAGCATCTTTCATCTCACTGCTCACATCTACTCGTTAGAATTCCCATTGTACTACCAAATTCCCAAGAAAATAAAAACAAATGAGTGCTTTTTGATTTAGAACTGTTAAGAACATGACAAGAACACAGTAAGTTATTGAGTTAAATCTGAAGGCTGACGATGTCTTGAAACATATTTAGAAAACCAGAACTTGTATTAGTTGCCGTAACAGCCCGCTCAGATTTAACATGACCAAGAAGCCTCAGTTACAGAAATGCATCTGTTTTACACTGACACCCACAAATGGCTGAAAGAGTTCCAGAGGCTTTGGCTATGCTGCAAACAGAACCATGCCATGCTGCAACACTACATCCAGCCAGCAGCACTACGGCCTTTAGCAGTTTCACTGAGACATCTCCAGGGGTTGTGCAGGCTGTCCTCCCGCTGAGTCACCATGGAGTGACACCGTGGAGTTTAGAAAGATTAAAACCTTATTAGATGGGGTTAGACTCAAGAAACAAAAAATATTTGTTTCTGGTAATAATGGTTAAAGCAGAACATCACACAATTCTACAGCTTCGGAAGCACTTTCAAAAAAGCGTTGAAGCTTTATTAAAAACTTCATGTAAAAAAAGGTTAAGACCTGAACTTTTAATTAAGAAATAGCCTAGGTCTTCCAAAAGAAATTAATTCATAGCAGTAATTGATCTAACATGATTTTGCCTCCACTATCTTGTAAAATCCAGTATGCTTTAAAAAGAGCTATGCAAAATAAACTGCAGCATCAGTCCGTTCAATTATTTAAAACATCAGTTGGTGGTCACTTATTTCTGAGCACTCTCAGTGTAAAGTGTGCAAGGTCTAACATTTAGAAATTCACATGAAGTCATCACACACTTGAGCTAGAATTTTCTCTCTAGATGACATACCTGTAAAAGCTAGGAACCATTGCCTAACAGGCACCAACACTGGTACAGAACAAGGATGACCTCAATTTCTGTTCTCTCACATTCCTTGTTTTAAAGCATGGCACAGCAGAAGCCCCATCATCTCATTTTCCCCATTTGTAAAGTGGAGGGAATGCAATTTCCCAGAGGCAGATGTAGTAAATAAAAGCTCATACATTAAAGCCTGAAAGGAAAGTTCTGAATCATCATCTGCAAATCCTAGCTGCAATAGGGATCACATTATAGATTTCTTTACAAAGCATTATCAGAAATGAGGTCTCCTGTCCCCAAAAATGCAACAGAAACATTTTGGAAAGCACTTATATCTGGAACAGACATATTTACAGATTCTTGAACTTTTTCCTTTTGACTTCAATAGTCTTTCATTCTTGCTTAACCCACTACTGTATTTATAGATAGTCACCAGCCTTACAAGACTAAGCAAGCTAATGCTATTCTGTCAGCTCTCCCATGACAGGTTCTCAGTTTCCTTTTTGCTCACCTCCTTTCCCCGCACCTAATCCAGTGCAAGTTTAACCTATCTGGAACATATGAACTTGGATCACCAGATGCTTCCTTTGCAGAGGCACCACCTCAGCTCTGTTCAGTGTCACTGAATAAAGAAAGCATTCATCAACAGTCCTGAGCTGAAATTTCTTTCTAATCTATGACCCTTTCCTATGAAGCCAGCAGAACTACTAAGGGGCATTCCTCCTCATGGACAGTGTCTTGGAGAACTAACTTATTGAGAACTAGTGGTACGCTGAGGTCATTTGCGATTTTAAATACATAGAAGCTGTATAGATGGGAGTAATAGAAGCTAAATATCTTTTCTTTACAACTGAGAGCACCTGTCTTCTCCTGCCTTGTCCAATCCCTGACAATACATTTTTCATCAGCACCTGCATCGTAGGTCCCTCAGGCACTCCTAAAGGAAACACCACGGGAGAACAAAAGTTAACTTACATCCAGCGCTAGAAAGTTTGCAGACCTAAGCAGGAATCACAAGCAGAATGCTAAGGGCAAAAAGAGGCTCAGTGTCTTACTTCACTGCCTCATGTGTGTCAGTATGTCAGAAAAACTGAAACACCTCAGTTAGTTTCCTGCTGTGTTTTTGAAAGTCACTGTCGTTGCTTTGACTCAGTTTTCATTTAAAATGTTTGTGATAAGATGCTTCAATACACCATCAGAGTAACACTAACTTACACAGTGAAACAGAAAACTCCCTTACATGGAATTCCAGAAGAAAAAAAAAAAGGCATTCACCAAGTTGTAGATTTCTCTGCACTAAAATTCTAAAGCTTACTTAAAACTAAAATGGCTAGTTAACTTTTCTAAAATGAGGATCTTCTACAGTGAGTGTTGAACAAGATGAGCATGAACTCCACTACCTGCTTTCCTAAATGCTCCTTCAGTTAGAAATGAAACAAATACTATTTATTCAATCACTCTTCCGTGCACAAGGGTGAGAGGTTAGCAAACAGTCAGTAGAAAAAGCAAGATCCCACTAAAAAGATTCCTGGAATTTACTTTTATATGGCTGGACACTGCAGGGTAACTTCGTTAGGGTCAGCCACTCACTGACAAGGTCATAACAACTCTCATGCAAGAAACTAACATGTATTTTGAATCTGCTAAATTGAAAATGTTTGAGAGGACTGTACATGAAAAGCTGGACCAGAAAATGACCCTAGAATTTGAGAATATCCTTCTCTAAGTAAGTATTCAAGCAAGCCAGCATCAGGTGAGGAACAGAAAATACAAGAAGACAAAATAGTAGATGGTTTGTTTTAAAAATAAGTGCTTTTCTTTTTTCTCCTTTTTTCTCTACTTAAATGGAGCATTTCTGACTTCTGTCAGGACAGAAGTTTTTATTAGCAACATTCCAGACAGGTTCAGAAAACAAACACAAGTTTTAGGGCATGACATGTGTCTCACATCAATAAGTAGAGCAGGCTGCTTCTGAAGCCTGCTGATTCCAAAAGATGCAGCATCTGTGTGATCAGAAAGTGGCAGAATTTCAGAGCTGATGCACACCAATAACCAGAAAGTCTACAGAAAGCCAAATATTGCCTCATTCATTAAAGAGGTTAGGATTGTTTACTGTAGTGTCCAGAGTCCATTTGCATTTCACTGATAGCATCCACTAACTGTTTTTATTAGTATAGAGAGATTTTGAAGAACTGCCATGAACTGATAAAAGAAAAGCTGTTTTGTACCATCAGACAGGCATAGTTGTTACAGGAAGGAAGTTGGGAGGAGTGAAAGAAAGGGAAAATAAGGCGGGGAATTCAGGCCAGGTACTTACACGGGCAGTATTCTAGCTCACCATTCCCACATCATTTACAATTATTGCTTTCTTTCAGTGTAGACATCAGTAGCTGACAACTCTTGGAGGTGTTCCTGCCTATCTCCAAAAGATGCTGGAGCCACAGAGGAGCTTTAAGGAACATCGCTAATACTCTGAAAGCTTCAGAGCAGACAAAGCAAAGTGTGTGATGTTTTTTTTTCAGTTCAGAGCTTAAAAACAGCTAATAAAGCGGGTATATGCTGCTCTGGTCATTTCACTTAAGCTACACGTCTCCTTCAGACAAGCTACATGCTGTGTGGGGTCAGGACAGCAGGCACACTGCGGTGCAGCACAGCAGCCACCCATGGCACCAGCTCAGCAAACTGCATCAGACTTACATGGCGGACACAGCAACTCCAACATTAGTTCTCCTAGGATGAGAGCCTTCCCCACCCAGTGCCTTTGCTGCAGAAAGCTAGATCACACTGCACCTATTCACAGAGAGAAACGCACGTTCCTTTAAGCAATCCACGGACAGACTCAAAGCAACACAAGCTTGATGGATCTCTGCAATATGAAAGTTTCAGTACCACCCTTTTCGTTACATAAACGAGCGTAACCACTAACAACTCGGTACGGGTGCACTCTGTTGTGCTAATTCCTCACTTGCCGGAGCGGGGTTAGCAAAAACCAAGAAAGCAAAACCAAACGGCCACGCCATTCCACATTTACGTCAAACGGGCAGCAAACGCCGCGCCTCGCGGTGCACCGCAACGAGGAAAACGCTCAAACCGAGCACAACTCGGAAGGAAGTTCGGGGTCGGCAAACGGCAGCGTGGCCGCTCTGCCCCCCAGCAGCGCGGCTCAGCGCCGGGCCGCCCGGCTCCGCCGTGCCGGCGAGCGCAGCGGCGAGGCCGCGCGACGGACAGCGGCTGACCGCAGCTCCGCTCTGCAGGCGGGCAGCGCGCAGGGCCGCCGCGGGACCTCAACGCCGGCCGCTCGCTCCGCTGCGGGACCGCCCCGAGCCGCGGCAGCCCCGGGGGCCGGCGCCTTCCGTCCGCACGGCCGCCCCCCGGCGAAGGGCAGCGCGGGGCCGCCGCGGCGGCAGGGAGGCACGCTGCCCCTCGCTGCCCCCGGGGCTCCGTCCGCCCGTCCCTCGCTCCCGCCCGGCCCGCCCCGCAGCCCCGCTCCTTACACGGTGATGTGCCCGGCGCCCCGCACCACCACGGGATCCGGCGCGTCGCGGGGCCGCGGCAGCTCCTGGCTCCGCACCACGGGCTCAGGCTCGGACGACTCCTCCTCCTCCTCGTCTTCTTCTTCTTCCTCCTCCTCCTCCTCCAGCTCATAGATCGTGTCAAAATCCGCCATGTTGGGGAGCAGCACGCTCATCTCAACCCCACCCCCGACGCGGCTTCGCCGCGCGTCTGCGCAGTGCGCAGGGAAGGGGCGGAGCGCCGCGCGCCAGGGGCGGGGGAGAGGCGGGTGCGCATGCGCACTGTGCGCGAGGGTGCGCGTGGCCGCCCCGCTTCCCGCTGCCGCCGCGTACCGGAGCGGTGCCGTGGCGGTTCCTCGGCGCGTCTCGCGCCTTTTCGTTTCCCGCTCTTTCCAGGAGCGCGAGGCGCTGCTGAGGAGAGCCGCACGCGGTCGCGCTGCGCTGACTCCTGACCCCTGCTTCAAGTGTACTTCTGCGGGGTCTCTTTTAGTAAAAATAACAGAGATCAGACTTTTTCCTCCCGCCCCTTCGTTTTCAGCTGTCTGCTTACCTGTTGTTCCCTCCCAGCGCTCGCAGGTTTGTTGGTAGGGAGCTGTTGGTGGGGGCTGAGGTGCAGCAGGCTGAGCTCCGTGGGCACGCAGTTTTCCCGAGGCTTGGTTGCCTGTTTTTTTTTCTTTGTTCGTTTTTTGGTTTTTGGATCATTCTGGAAATCGATCCCCATGCAGAATAGTGGGGTGTTGAGAGGGAAAGGTGTGCTCTGGAGAAGAGCCCTCAGGAGGGCTGCTGGGGCTGGCAGCCACCTGATGTAGTAGACACGTAGTTCTGAGAGATTTGGTTTGTTTTGGTTTTTTTTTTTTTTTTTAAGAGTATGTATTGGAAAGTGATTTGGTGTATCTTAAAGGAGGGAGCTCACCGTGTATGTCCTTTTCCTGCAAAAAAGAGGAGGAAAAAGATTTCCCAACAGCTGTTCTTGGGAAAGGCTTCCCTCATAATTTGTCTTCAGTATTTTTCAGGACTTTCTGGACGTTAGCAAAAAGCTAATGAATTTGGATTTGGTTTTGGATCTCTTCGTGCTTCTGCATGCAGAAGTGCGTGAGGTACAGATAAGCAGTGCTGCATGGTGCGTGTGCAGCTGCAGCTAAAGCGGGTCCTGATGAAAGGAAGAACTGTAACTGGGGGAAAATGGCTCTTTACAAAGAAATGGAGTTGTGTGTTCTGTGCTGATCGTATGGTTTTGTCAAAGTGGTTTACTGCAGAAAAAGTAAATGGGGCAGAACACACCTCCCTGACACTGATCACATTAAAAAGATGTTTTGTTTAGAAACAAGTTGAAAAAGTGAAAATAATTCTACAACTGGCAATATAGTATTTTTTCTATTTGTCTTCTATTGTGTGCAAGATTACTAATTGTAATCCTTGGGAAGAAGGTCTTGAAACCACTGAAGTAAAAGTTTATATAGGTTACTAATAATATGCCAGCTTTTATTTTGTTGTCATTTAAATGGAACGTTTGCATTCGCTGAACTGAAGGTCAAAGACTTACAACTTTCAATCATGACTGAGTGCGCACCTTAAGAAATTATAGGCTTGGTGCATGCATCAACTCTACAGATTTTAATAATTATTGTTGTCGTTCTTGGCAGCTTTGGTGAATTGTCCAGGAAGAAGGTAATGATGTGTAAAATATAACTGCAGGGGATGTAACAGGCTGTCCTGTGCAGCATTTCCTATGGGAAAGAGCTGGGCACAGGCACTGAGTTCAAAGCTGTGTGCTGTTGCTGAGCAGAAGTTGGACAGTCCAGGAAGCATTTTGGAGTAATCCACGGAGTAGATTAAAATGCTGTCTTATTTTATTAGGGAAGCATTTTCCAGCACTGTATCTGTTGAATGCTTTAAAACAACAAAAAGCCCATGTGCTGGGGTGCTGGTAACTTCTCATACCTTCCAATCTGATTTTTGTATCAAGAGAGGAAGGTGGAGTAAATGGTCCTATCTGAGCACAGTGCTCACGTCATAATTAAAGAATAGGTTGTAGCAGTAAGCAGTAGCTATGTATTGGAATGCATATAGAAATATCTGAACACGAACCTTAAAAGTGGTCTGCAAGTACATCCAATATAAAAACTGGTCTGGCTGTGCTATAGCCATCATCTTTGTGTGAGAGTCTGGACAGGATTCACACGTGTGACTGAATAGAAAGTGTTTGTATTGGATGTGGACAGTGAGCTAGATGTGTGGAGGATGAAGGTCAGTGACTATGTACTGGTGTGTGCTGAAGTACCGGGGTCTGTTTTGTTTTGCTGCCGGCTGAGAGCCCTTAAAAACCAAACTGAATGCTGTAGGAATAGTGTCACATTAGCAGGCAGCCTTATGTCCCTGAAAATTCTTGAACCAAGCAGCTGCCCTGTGGATGAACAGTTGTGCTGCTGCTTTCAGTGCAGTCATTGCTGAATGCCTGCTTGGTAACAGTCATGTATTTCTCTGTTCAAAACACTTCTGTCTAGGTACTTGCTATCAAATTCTGAATTGCTTTTATTCCTTGTGTCAGCTTTTCATTGTATACATAGTTTTTAAAATGACCTATTTCATATCCAATTGCTTCTAAATTCCTCTGCAAAGTACACTTAGTATAAACCTTACTGTAAACCACGATGTTGCTTTGTTGGCCTTTTTCTGAAGACCTAGGCCAGATTTCTTCCTCAACGTAATGATGATGCTCTCTTAACCATTGAGTTTTTAACATGGAAACGAGTCATAAAATGTGTGCTACTAAAACCCCGCATGTTCTTTCCAATGTCCTGAGACAGATCTGTACCTCATTCAGAGAAAGTTGCTCTGGCTATCTGAAAATTGGCTTATGAAATGTTCAGTTTTCTACTGGTCTGCTGTTCTGTATCTTGTATTTGTATGAGGTACGCATAGGCGGTATTCTGAGTTTTCACTATGTTTAGATATTTCATGTTTTATTTGCTCTGTTTCTGATATCAGACACAGGGAAGATCTCAAGTTCTAGGGAGTTTCAGTTCATGGAATGAAGTATGAAGTTGATTGGCATGTTAGATACCTTTTAATCTCAACTGCACAAGAGAAGCAGCAGCTAATAACAGGTTTCAGATCCAAGATTACGTCTTGGATTACTTGGTGATTGCACTGAAAATACCTATTGTAGAGGTAGATAATTTTTGTAATAATCTTAGTTTCAAGAAGTTGCCAACTTAATGATTCAGATTTTTATTTCTGCTACTGTATTACTACTAGTAGTAGCCAAATCTGGATTTGATTATGCTCTGATCTATGAATTACTCTTTTTTTTTTTTTTTAAGTATATTTCAATAGGATCCTTTCTGATATCTACTGTAAAATAAGTATTACAGTAATTAAATAAATCTGTACATCTTTTCTCCCCCAGAAATTCATATTTAGAAGTTAATTAGTTCATTAGTTAATGAAGCCAAATCACTGTGGTGCTGCCTAGAGTCTCCATTTGTGGTAAAATTTGAGGAAGATGGGGAAAATAGAAAAAGTTTTGTGTTTTTGTTTCTGTCATAGATACTGTCAGAAATGCTGTCACCTACCCTTCTGTAGCAGCAGGGCTTTCTATCTTGAAGCTGAAAAGTAAGATAATAGTCCTTTTGTTTCTTGTAAGTTTCATGTATGACAGTTTTTTTCTTCATTATTTTATTTTATTTTTTTTAATATTCTACATTCTTCATGCATCAACAGCAAACTTAGGTAGAGAGGCTGGTGGAACTATGAATCCCTCCTTTCCCAGACCTGTTATGTAGCAAATACCAATTTCTTTGAAGAGCAAAGCAGCCTGTATGTATCCAGATGTCTGCTAGTAGATAAACCTCCGTTCATATAAACAGAAGTGTTTGTATGTATGCTCTGTGATACACTGCTCTATTTTCTAATATGCACACAAAAGCTCCGTAACCAAGTGAGCAGTTTTAGAATATCCCGGATTCATTACAGATGCCCAAACACAGTCTCATATTCTCACAGTCTTCTGTTTTTACAAATATTTATATTTGAATGTTTTACCATTTGCTGTTTCTTTACATTAATATATGTCTGTTTATTTCAACCACATGAGTAGGTGATTAATAGAAATACATTGGAGATCCACCCACAGAATGCCTTTTGGAGAAGTGTTATTCTAGTAGTCCCTAACAGAATTATTTTTACAGAGTTACTCCAAAAGAGTTATTTTTAAATAATTGGGAAATTTAAGTTTTCTGATACATTGAACCAAGATAATGAATGCTTTGAGATGTTCTGCCTGTTGTTGTTCAGTGCATTATCTGACACTAAGCAGAGTTTGATCTACTATTTCTGAGACCAAGAAGAGTTAGATGCTGTTGAAATAAAGAGTGATGTATGAATTTTCATATGCCAGATAACAGTACTTTCTATTTTTCTTTTCTGATAACCTTTCCAATGAAATGAAGGCTTTTCTATGGAGCACTTAATTCTGTGCAACAGAGAAGCTCATATTAGGAAATGCCCATAAGTAGAACTACTGAAAGGTCTCGATTTCTCTAGCACTTTGTGTTTTCTTGCTATTTTTTTTTTAAGTCTTCATCAGTTGCCTTCTAGATACTGATGCTGTCTCCTCTGACACTGCGGACCAATAATAAAAGCTAACCTCTCTTTGAGCATGTTTATCCCAAAATTTGTGCTCCTTTAGGAATGCACTTTTGGTACATGCTTGCTGTGACAGTGAATGCTAAGCTGCTCAATAACAGCTTTGTATTTCAAAGTCTGCCACGTTGGGGTATTTCTTGCCTTTTAACCTGAAATAAGTGTCACATATAAAATTGGTGGCTCATGTCTGCTATTTGAGAAAGCTGTAGAGACATCAATCAAATTCTTGATTTGCTTTTTGGTAGTGTGATAGTAATAACAGTTCTATTTCCATTATGTTTGTCCTTTAATTTTTCAATGGTATTACAAGTGTTCATAGAAGATGGAAGTACAAGTAATATTTACATCTTCCAAACTATTTGGTATTTATTAATGTGCAGTTTCTTACAACTGAACAAATTTTAGCAGGTTGGTGTGATATTATATATCTATTGTTTAGGAGATTGGCACACTTGGATAGAACTTCATAGAGTACAAAGACTACTCATTTGATTTTGTTGGATGCAATGTGTCACCAAGCGTAACATTACGTTTCTTGAGTGTTTAAGTGTTTAAAAAGTTGTTTTCAAAAAATGACTTAATTTTC